CGCTGGGCTCCCGCGGCCCCGGAGCCGCCTCCGAGCCGCATGGGATGGGCTCTGGGTGACACGGCAGCACCGCAGACTCTGGAGTTGTCTCCTATCCCGAGACATACCCTTCTTCCGTTAATATCTTTCACCAGCTTTTGGGCAGGTGCTAATCTCAAAATGCTGACTTAGTTCTTTCCACAGAGTTTTTCTCCTAGAATGCCAAGTGAGTGTTTGGAAGCAGGTTCTGTTAAAAATTAGCACTGAAATTATGAAGTCTGTCCTTCCCTCTGAAAATCGGTGTGTTATTTTACAGAATGGATGTTAGCAGCTGTTTAGTGAGTTTCAGTCCCAGGGCTGTTGCCTTTGTCCTGTGCCTAGAATCCATGCAGACACCTTTGGCATCTGTCTCTATACAGTTGTAGGTCTCCAGAGGAAGGGGGGAGATAAAATTCGTTTTGCTGGTGGACTTTGTTGCTTGCTTTTCAAAAAAACTCTCACCAAACTTGAACTTACTGCACCAGAACATTGTGTTCAATGCATTAGTACTTTGGCAAGTAGTGTAATTCATCCAGGTCTGCCTGTGATGTTAAGTTGTAACCTTCACTTGGAATAATGAGAAACTACTCTGTTTTGGGAAAAATTGTGTCCTGGTGATACTGTTTCTTTAAAAAAGAACCCACAAACCATACTTAATTTGGAAACATACTTAATTGGATACCTGAACTAGATGACCTCCTGAGGCCCCTTCCAACCAGAATTACTCTGTGTTTCTATGCTGCTGCTGTTTGTTCATACAGTACTTTGCAGGATGGGGTCCCAGTTTCTGACTGAAGCTGCTTTGCACAGGGCAATGACACGTCCTGCCCAGCGGGGGAGGTGGAAGTGGAGTGATACACAGCCACGAGATCGAGCAGTGTGTCACTGTCAGTGTCAAGTACTGAAACCACTTCAGCCCTCCTGTCCTCTCTGTGGCAGCCCCAAACCTTCCTGAGCACTACTACCACACTACAAATTACATGAGCATGGGCACTGGTAAACTGCAAAGGCTCTTTTTAATTGTATTTAGTTCTTTATTTTCACATATCACAAACATGTGAATGCAATATCTCGTTTATATTCCTTATTTTTTTGTTGTTCAAATTGTATGACAGTCTTAACTGCTACTACCATTTCTTCTCCACAGACGGGGAAGCTGAGGCACCTTAAGACCTACAGTTTTATGCTAGCTTGACTTGCAGAGCAGTACCCAGACTCTTCAGGATTTCTAACAGTGTGAAATCTAATCAAGCAGTGTTAGTGCATTTTGGCACTGGAATGATGACTACTGTAGAAGGTGAATACTAATTGTTTTAGATTTTGTTTATGCTTGGCCATCTGCAATTAGCCCCCTAAGCCATTACATCTACTTATATAATATATTTCTGTTTGCAAGTTTTATCAAGATATCAAGATATTGCAAGGGGGTTTGGATATGTGACTCCCATTGTTTCCACTTATGTAGTTAATCAGTGGAAAGGCCTGAGGGGAGGACACAGGTTATTTGATCCCATGGCCTGGTGACAAGATTTGGGTTTTTTTGACTCTTACTGCTTCCACATTTAAGGTTTGATTCTGTGCCACTGAGGTCAGTGAAAATGTTACTGACTTTGGTAGGAGCAAAATATCAGACTGCTAAAGTGAGCAGTGACAGAGCAATGCTTATATTTCTAGCAAGAGAGCAACACAGGATGACTAATAGGTTGTATAAAGAACTCTGTTTCTACAGCAGCTTTAAATGTTGACATCAGTTTGTCCTGAAGCTGATCCGTGTAGCTCAGTCAAGAGCAGTTAGGTGGTGTGCTCACTTGGATCAGTGCATCAGTGAAGAGCAGTTAGGTGGTGTGCTCACTTGGTGAAGGCTCTGGTGCCCTCCAGTGTCGTGTGCTGTGCTGTGCCAAGTCCTTGGGCAGCCAGCAGCAGCAAGGCCTTGGGAGGCACCTGGGGACTGATGGCTGAGAGCTTGTTTGCCCAAGCAAGAAGCCTCCCTGGTGCTGTACTTAAAAATGTGATCAGTTAAAGAGTTTGTGATGCCCACAGCTTTGGAAGAGAGACAGTGTTGCGGTGGACCTGCTCTGGTATTTGCATATGTGGAGTAGCTCTGCTTCCTGCTCTTGCTGTGCTTCTTTTCATCTGTCTTTTGGGTTTTACTCCTTTCAGCCCTTTCTCTGGGGCCCAAAAAACATTGCTTTGTTTCTGACAAGTGGAAGTGACTTAGGAATTCTGCTGATACGAATCTCAATCATATGTCACTTCAAACGTTTGGCTTGTTTTTGAGGAGCTATCACCCTGATGTTTCTTTCATTCATACTTATTTTCTATCTCTTAAATGTTGCTGATTTAAGCAACTGACTAATGCCCTTGTATTATTCCTCACTAGTTGTCAAGGAGAAGCAAAATTATGCTAGTGTGCATGAAGCAGTGAAAGGTCGTGATGTAGAACAGCTTGCCTCAATGATAAAAAGTGGAGCTGGTATTAACGAGGTGGATGTTGTCCACAAATTCACACCCTTGCACTGCGCTGCCCACTCTGGAAGTCTGGAGGTAAAACATTACATTAATGTTTAGACACAGTCAGGTTTTTGTAAGTTCGTATTTCCTTCTTTGGGAGAGGCTGGACACAACATTGCTAGTTTTGATCAAATCGAATCAATCATCTGTGCCTGTTTTCCTCATTAAATATATTCACCAAGAGCAGAAGTACAGGATTTTGGGTTTTCATTTTTTACTTTCTGAAGCCCCAGGCAATTTGCCTCATCAACTTTGCTAGATTTTACAAAAGCAATTATTTTCTACTCTTAGCAAAATGTGCCTTATGACCTCCCTTCTTTTGTCCCAACTGTTTTTCCCCTCTCTTGAGACACCTAGAAAATCTGTAGGATGTGTAAAATGTTCTGAAGGTGATTGAAACAGGTGAGGAGTGACATGAAAACATGTTCATTCTGTTTAGCAATGTCCCATGCATCATTCTCTATAGTAGTAGTCCTAATGCATTTTATTTTAATAAATGAAAATACTGAATAATGATGGAGAAATCAGGTGCTTGCATGAACGTTTTGAACTTCTAGAAAGACTGAGCTGCTGTATTCAGCACAACATTCACCTTTTTCTTGCAGACTTGTACAATTTTTACAGCAATTTAACCTTGAGGCAACAAGGTCATTCATGTCCCAAAGGAAAGAATGCAAAGTTCTTGCTAGATTCAAGAAATTTTAAGTGCAGTGCTGTCTCTGGAATGTAGAGAATGTCAAGAAAATGCTAATCCTCATGTTGTCAGCCCCCAAAATAGATTGCTTACCTACCCTTTTCTGCATCTGTAAATTCTGCCATTTTTCATTTCACTTTCCCACTTTGCAATCAATGTATTGGACTTTATTGAATGATCTGTCATCTATTTCTTGCTAAGTTCCTTGGTAGAAATAGTGGAGAAACCAGAGCTGTAAGGTGGCCTGAAATAAGATAATAAATCATAATAATATATAATAAAAAGCTTTAACTGGTCCTCTCTCTGGTTTTGGTAGTCCATAAAGCTTTGCATTGCAAGCAATAATATCTGCTGGAAAAAGGTGAAGAAAACAAAATTAGGCCATGGAGGGATGAGAAGGGAGATGGGATTACTTACACCTAAGGAGTCTAATAAATTAAATGAGGTTTCAAATTTAGTTTGTGGTACTTTTCCTGCCAGTAATTTTAGCTGGAATTCATATGAGCATGTTCACATTGTTTTTTCCAATCCTTCCAGCTCATGCCATGTGAGGACTCTCACAGATTACATTTTAAATCTGGAAGAGTAAAATTAAGAAGCCATACTGTAAAATCGATGTCAGGGTCTGAATTAGTAGGTTATTTGCACATTTTGTAGTCTCAGATGAAACCTGGAAAGTATAACTTACTTTCCCATACCTAAGGCATTTCTGGGGTGTCATATTTATATAATGAAGGGTTCCAATATTGTTTTGAAATGTAACATCGAAGGATAAATTCTAGTTTAAAAAATGTGCCTCAGGTAGATAATAGGAATAGTTAAATAAAGAAACTTTGGTTTTATTTGGTCAGTGCCTTCACTGGTTGCTCTGGCATGGAGCTGATACAACACAGGTGACTGTTAGAGGCTGGACAGCAGCTCACCTTGCGGCTATCCGAGGTCAGGATGCCTGCATGCAGGTACGTATAAATGTTCACTCTCAAACAAAAGTAAGTAGAGAAGACCTTAATTTTGGACAAATTCATTATGAAGATCAGCTGAGGGAGCTCCTAATGGAGCTATGAGTAGCTCATCTGGATGTCTTGACATCTGCAATTAAGTCACTTGTTCTAAAACCAGTGCATTCATTTCTGCTGTCCGTGCCAACAGATTTATTTTGTGCAGTGCCAGGGCCTTGAGGTCAGCCCAGAGTTACCCTGCTGATCATCATAAGTCATCCTGCTAGGCGACGTTTGCTTTTAAGGCTTGTGAAGTGAACTGCTTTGCATTTCTTTTAGGCTTTACTACTAAAAGGAGCAAGTGCAGAAGCTCGGGATGACCGCGGGTGCACAGCGGCACACTTGGCTGCGGCCCACGGGCAGTCCTACACCTTGCAAACCCTACTGCGAAGTGGAGCGGTGAGACACTCCCACCTGCAGTGCCCTAGTGCAGAGCCAGAGCCTGGTAGCTTTTTCTGAACAAAACTCTCCCTAGCTCAAACCGAGATTTAGGACTGTAGATTAATTACTGTTGGTAAACTTATTTTTCAGGGTGAATGTCCATTTTTAAAGTTGTAATACACATTTAGGGAAATGATCCAAAAATCTTGAGAGAATCAATAGTGTGAGTAAATCACATTCCACTGAGGATGCTGTTAAATGAAGATCAGCTGCTGGGGTGGTGGTGATTGTTTGCAATTGTACAAATCTATAGCAAGGGAAAGAAACTAAAAAAAATTAAATTAATCCAGATGCATATTTAATGACCAGCGTGTGATAAATAGTGATAAAAGTATGGCTAAAAAAAGCAACTTTATAAGTGTATTAAGTAAAAACTACCTGTGAAAAGTACCTGTCTTGGAACAGGAACTGTATATAATGCATGAACTTTGAAAAATGTGATTTGATTTAGTTTAAATAATTTAACATGATGAACAGCTGATTCCTATATATAAAATTCATCTTGTGTCTAAGGTTCTGAAGTAAATGAATTATCTTGCTGCTTTCATTTTAGAATGTAAATGTTTCAGACAGGAATGACTGGAAACCTGTTCATTATGCTGCTTTCCATGGTCGCTTGGGGTGTTTGCAGCTTCTTGTTCGATGGGGAGCATCTATAGATGATGTAGATAACAATGGAAACCTTCCAGGTATACCAGGATAAATCATACATTTTTAAACCCTTGGTTTGCAATTGTTGTTATGTGATAACTTGATTCCATGCAATCAGCATAGTCCATTTTTCTAATGATGGGGGATTTATAAAATCTAAAGGATTGATCTGTTAGTGACAGTATCCCATTCACCCCCTGCTGCTGCTGCTGCTAAGTTTCAGAGCTCATGGGTGCTGGAACAGGGAGCAGGCTGAGCCTGGCTGAGAGTGCTGTGTGGGTGGGCAGTATTCTATGTGTGTGATGGAGCACGTGTGCCAGTGGAGGTTGCAGGAGAAGGGTAGGTGGAGCAGGAGCAGTTCCAGCTGCTATATGCTACTTCTTGAGTTTGTGCCAGGCTTTAATGGCACAATGTGCCAGTGTGATCAGATTCTGGTGTGTTTGCATGCATATATTTGTATCCCGCTGTTTCTTAACTGATTTCATAAAACATTTGTTCTCATTTTTCCTGTGATTTCTTCATCTTGCTTTCTGGAATACATTTGGGTTTTTTTCCCCTGTATTATCTGTAATCTGTTCTCCTTTAATAATTACCAGTGTATTGCCTTTAGCACAAAAAATGGGCAGTTTATTCCTTGCTCTTCATAGTTTCTCCAGCTGTCCATCTGCCTACCATGCCACTGCCTCAATATCCTTTGTAAGTTGAATGGTATTGTTCCTGTCTTGGGTTCTCACTGCATCCTCTCTCTTTTAGCATTTTCCTTCTTAAGTTTTGTCATATTATTTGTTCCAAAGAGCATATTTCTTTTGCTATAACTTGTATAGAGTTATCTTTCTACATACCCTCTTAAAATCTTTTACCCTCTACTAAGCACTACCTACCTAGGAAATAGATAGCTATATTCTGTTTTGCAAGCCTGGGTCATGTTAAAGGACGTGAGGCTCTTGCATCCCAGCAGGAGATCTGGTGTATTAGCAATAAGGAGTCATGATGTTAGGCACCCTGGTGGCAGCTTAGAAGGCAGGTTTATTTGCATTTGGGAACACTTCCCTGATAACAGACTTGTATGGAGAGATAGCAGATGCCAGCACAGATCTACTTAAATGCTCTGTGTATACTGGTTAGTAGAAAATTGGTTTTACTGTTGTTTTGACATCTACAGGAGCTTGATCTTCCAGCCTTTGTTCTGTTTTATTTGATCATACTATCATCCAAAGGAAAGAAAATGCTTTGGAACATGGCTAGCAAAAGATGAGTAGAAGTGGTGTGCTGTACAGACCTGCTTTTCCTCAGCTTGTTTAACAGTAAACATAAATTATCCTTACATACTTTAGTTTCAAGATTAGCCGAACAGTGCTACAATTTTTCCTAAGAAAGTACTGAAAGAAATTTTCTGAGGTTGCAGTACCAGACACCTAAAACTTAAAAACTGGCTGCACCTTTTGTAAGTGTGTTACAGCAGAGGCTCTCGTTACCTGTGCTAATTTACATGCTAATTTTCTGGAAGAAACGATTGTGACTCATTCAACGTACAGAATGGGCTGTGCTTATTTATTCAACACTTTGTTTTCTCTCTGTATTCGGTTTTGGGCCATATCCATGCTGCTTTTATTGCTCACTACTCAGACCTATTCTGAGTGTTTTTCACTGACACTTTTTTCACTTGTGGGTTTGAGAAGAGTGAATAATGTTAGCCTGGTTTTATAAAAGGCAAGATGAAACACAGAGAAGTTGGGATACCAACACCACCTACCTACCCACTGCCTATTTGTGATGGCTGAGACAAGGTTTTTCAAAGCTCTTGGCACTGAGCTGCACATTTTGATGTTCCTGTGTTAACATCACAGTACCCTTTGACCTTAGTCTCAACTGCAGGTGCTCAGCATGCCTGAGGATGGGACAGCACAGTCATATTTTGGATGCTAGCTACTAAGACATGCACAGGTTTAAAGCCACCTGTGAAAAGCTCCTTTATGTGTTCCACAGCATTCCACTGAAAGTGTGCAAGAAGGCTCAAACAGAGCATGTCTCTTTAATCTATTTCTCCCTTGCCATCTTTGCAGAAAATGTTGAGCTTTTCTGATTGCTTTATGCACAGGATGGACATCTGACAAAAAAAGTTTCAGCCCAAAAGGTGAAGTTTTATTCTGGAGATTTTAGGTATCTGAAAATGGATTCATAAGGGTTGAGGCAGTTTCTCACGAGCTGACTTTTTCAGCACTTACCTTTAGCATGGTACCTCTGCTTTTCCCTTCTCCCCGAGTAACTAACCCACTGAATAAAATTCAGACAATGGGGAAAACTGTCCTTATTTCAGTGAAGCTCAGATTTTGAGCAATCATCTGTAACAAAGTATTGTCATATTTCTGTAAAACCAATATCCATCGCCTTTCTAGAGCAATTGCACACTGGAAAGCTGTGGATGGTTGTAAAGGCCCAGAGAAGTCATGGGGTGGATTGTGGTGGTGCATTCCCACCCTGGTTTGCTATGGAGAACTTGTGTGAGCCAAAAGTGAAGTGACATGATTTTTTAGGTACTGGGTACATTGTTCGTTGATTATGAACATAGTGAGAGTCTTACCTGGAGACAAACTAATCCTTTTGCCTCTAGAACATCAGCCAGATTTTACAGAGCATTTTCATAGAGCAGTAACACATAATAAGCATTTATTTGGCAGGTTTTTCCCATTAATTGGACTAGAGAATATTACTCATTTTGAAATAATAAGGATGTGTTTGGTACCTCTTACTTTGTTACAGGCCCAGCACTCTATTAATATTAAGTAACTAAACCTCTGCATAGCCTAAAGGAGAGGAGAAGAATGTACCTTAAAATACTTTACCCAGTAAAGCTCATGTCACTGTCCTCATTTTATAATGAGATGACTGAGGGTGCAATGCAACTGGTTAGTGGTGGCACAGTAGAGGTGGGCCTAAAGCAGAAATGGCCTTAACTCCTAATCAAGGACACTGCTTGCTGTCCCTCTATAGTGAGTATCCCTAGGACAGTGAGGTCAGACAGCTGCTGAAGATTGAGACTTGTGTTCATGAGGAAGATGAGACCCCAGCAGTGCACTCTACTAGCTAGAGCTCAGTTGCCTGTTGGGAGTGTTGTTTTGTCTTCTGCAACCAGCTCTGCCAGGGAATCTTCTTTGCAGATCCTATCCTTGACAGTTTTCTTTTACTTCCTTTGCATAGAGCTGAACTCTGTCCTGGATAGGAGCTGAATATCCCCAATTCACCTGGGGCTGCTCCTACTTGTTGTGCAGTGTTGGATGGCTCACGTGCTGGTAGAAGACCCAGATCTAGCCAGTGGTGAGAGCACTGCTTTCTGCTCTTCTCTAACACACTTTTGTTTCACCTTGTGCTATAGCCCATCTGGCAGCAGTGGAAGGACACTTGCATTGCTTTAAGCTCTTGGTCAGGAAAATGGCCAGTGTCATGCACACACTGAAAGCCAGGAATGACCAAGGAGAGACTCCAAGGGACTTGGCTGAACGGTTCTATAAACATAATATTCTACAATATATTGATGGTGTGAAAGAAGAGACAGAGTATCCAGAGACACAGGAAGGTGAGTGTGGATCAAGGTCCTGTTAAACCAGCCCTCATAATTCCATAGAAATGCTTGATTCTGAAAAGTTGTATGAGCAGAAATATACATTTAAATTATCAATATAAGGTAGAGCTGCTCTTTTCAATGCTTTTTCAATGCTTATTTACTGATAGCTAAGGACTAGGATACTCAGTGTGATTTTGGAACTGTCTTAGGTTTATCTGTGATCACACTATGAATACCAAATTGTCTATGTTCATTTTAGACTCCAGCAAAGATCCAGAAAAACTGTATAATTTTCATTAGTTTCCAGATTGGTCTGCTTAAAATCCCTTACTTGCATTGAATAGCTGCTTAGCCTGAAAATGTCCCACTGAAATTAAGGTTACTTGCTAACCAGTAATACTACTGAAGTCAGAACAGCCAAAGGATGCAGGTGTGGCAAGGTCTGTAAGGAGAACCTTCAACAGGGCAAGGATATGAGAACTGCACATTCACCTCTCTACCTCTGGGCACTTACTCTCCTCATCCGCCAGTCTTTTCTCATGATATATATATGTATATTTTCAGTACTCCTTGTCTATAAAAAATAAGTAGAAAACTCAAATTGTCTGTATGAATAGTTTTTAGGTAAGGAGAAGTAAAATAGTTTACATATTTGGAATTCAAAATAGGCAAATTACTCCAGTTACCACCAGTAATACAATCTCAACCATAAAACAAAGGCATACTTGTTACTTCATGTCTTGGAAATTAATCTCTTAACCGTATAAGATGCCTGTAGCCATAACCAAGACATGTTTAGTCAAGTCTGTGGTGAACACTGCAAGTTATGCAGCTGCATTTTAGCCAGTTAAGGTGCATTAACCTTGCTAACTATGACGTGTCCATATGAAGTTGCTGTGAGAGAGGCAAATACCAGCATGTTTGGTTGAAATACTGGCACCTGTTTGGAAACATGTGCATTTCATTTTCAGCTTTAGCTTTCCCAGGTCATGACGCTGCTTGCAAAGGGGACTTGTTAGTGCTTAGAGGATTAGTGGGAAGTGGAGTAATCAATATTAATGAGCGGGATGATAAGGGATCCACTCTCATGCACAAAGGTCAGTAATTACAATCTATGTTTCAGCTTGTTCCTGTTTGTTTCTGACTTGTTTACTTTGTTTTTCAAGTGGCTGCTCATCAGATAAACTTCATGAAAAACAGCATTTAATTTCCTGAGGGCTTGGAAGGGCAACCCCAAAAAAATATTTTGTGATGTATGTGTGTGGAGGTGTCACTTTAAATTAAAAACAAAATAACCAAACTGAAGTCAAGATAAAAGAGTTTATCATTAAGAGAAATCAACATCTAAACTGAAAACTAAATAGTTTTGGGGTTTTTTTATCAGGCAAGATGTGGCTTTTAGAAACATTTGGCTAGCTAGGTATAAGAATGGTCTGTTTTGTGGCCTAGGCCTTTATTTACTAGACATACCAGTACCATGGGGATGTGGTGTAAAAAACACAACAGAGTCATTTGGTAGAAAGGTAAACTTCTGGTGTCTAGCACCTTGGTATGTCTTGGAGTGCCAGCACTATGGAAAATGGTCCTCTTGTGTTTGGGGGTTTCATAGTAATCTCTGAAAGAAGAAACAGGAGAGGAAAAAAGACAAAAATTTTTGTAATACGCTTTTAACACTATTTACCACATTTCTTTTTGACTAGATATAAATGATAGAATTAAAAAAAACAACCCATAATTGGAGTTCTTGTTAAATTTGATATGTGGTGATTTATAAAATGTTTTCTACATTCTTTACCACTTTCTTTTCTTGGAATGGTGCTGACCTACAATTGTTTCATCCCCAGTCTTTACATGCTGGTACTGTAATTTCATTTCCTTATCTCAGTAAGAAAGCAAATATAGCATAAATCCAAAAGGGAGTGGTGTGAAGAAATGGATTTATTCTTCCTTGAGAAACACAGCCTACAGTTTCAGCTAGACTTGCCAAATACCAACTTCCATATGTGAGACATTGTTCCTGGCACTGCGTGGTATGAGCAGTGGCCATGCCAGATCAAATGACTAGGCTTGTGTTAGGTTACTGCTGAGAAGTGTTGCCTTGAGTGTCTGGCCCAAAATATGATGTACCTATAGCTCCAGCACAAAGCCCTGCTTCTTTCCTACATGAGACAGCACCACACACCACAGACTGGAGCAAACAGCTGTGTCCGATATATGAGAGCCCAAAGCCAGGGAGAGGTGACAGTGCTTTGCTGAAAACTATGACATACAGGCCCTACTGCAAGAGAGTGTGAGGATGCAGTTATTTGTGTCTCAGGCTCAGCACATGAGACTGGGCAAGTTTAGTTTGACTTGTGTCCAGAAAGAGTTGCCAGGAAATTTCTGGAACTAGAGTCACAAAACCACACTGCATGATCTTCCCCAAAACTGTGCGTACCCATGTGATTTGAGCTTCTTGACACAGAGGTTCCTCTTGAAATAGTATCTCCCCTGTGGCCTCTAAGTGAATACAACCTCTGGCATGTCCAATAATGACAAGAGGAGGACACTATATGTTTGAAACACTTCAGTTGTATATAGCTGACCTGTGTGCACCTTCCTTCCCTTAGCTGCTGAACAGGGGCATACCCATTGCTTACAGTGGTTGATTGAAATGGGAGCTGACTGTGACATTACTAATGATGCTGGACAGACTCCAAAGGATGTAGCCAAGAGGTAGCAGTACATATTCTGTAGCTCTGACATTTATTTACTTGCTATTTGTATATCAAGATCATGTCAGCTTTACTGGAAGTAATCCTGATTTTCAGTGATGGAGAAAGAACGTATTAGGCCCATGAGTTCCAGCTCTGAGTGATAAAATAATCTGTATTGTAGTTATAAAATATTTTAATTTCACTTAATTATTTTTTTTTAGCAAGTTTAGACATAAAAGAGGAAAGCTAGCTGATCTGGAAAAGGGCATTTGTGAGCCACTATGCTCACAGTTTGCTGTGCAAAATAAATGAGAAATAACAGAGGCAAGCTGATGTTTGCTTTAATAGAAACAATGCAGTTTCTGATGAGATTCAGCTAAGAAAGGCAAAAGACAGCTCTGATGTAGGAGTCACTGCCATAAGATTCCATTGGGGCAGAGCTCATGCCATGAGAATACCATGAAAAGCAGATAGTTGCTCGTAGAGTGTGCACCAGCACTTCCTTTAACCCTGAAACCCCTTCCCATAAATGGGAACATGGGCAGTTTCAGAGAGTTTCTATCGCACGTTTTTCCAGATGATGGGAATACTTCAGTGTAGGTTAACTGTTCTCTGTGCAGGTTTGCCCAGCTGGCAGCTGTGGAACTTCTAGCACCAAGAACTGGAGACAGTAACTCTAGTGATGAAGAGCTAGATGCAAGCAACATAAAGTTTTTTGAAAGACATGGTGTGGAAGGGAGTACAGATAGCAAAGAAGATCTAACCCTGGATGAAGAAGAGAAAAGGAATGCACGCAGTAAGCACTGTCTTTCCATCATTCCTTGCTTGAAAAAGTTGGCATCACGACATTATAGTCCTAATTGCACAGTTCCTGCCAACTGCTGTGACCTTTTTGTTGTAAGCTGAGAGAGTAGACAGGATATCCGTACCACTGATCATTCAAACAAATTGTGGAAAATTAGAAAGCATAGCAGAGAGCAGTCAGAACATAACAGTTACACTGTTTAGATCCAAGGTGGTGAAACCATATTGAATTTCTACTTGTTTTTGATATTTCCAGAGCAGTGTGATTTCTGCTCTGTGTTTGTGAGGCTACTTTCCAGGCTGGTGGATTCCAGCATGTCTGTCTTGTCCGTGCATTTTACCTATCTGGAGAACTCTGTCTTACAGTAAGGGCCTATCAAAGGATTCAAAAACTTCAACAACTTCTAGAAATTGCATACACCAACTACAGACAGCTGGGAGGAATAACTGAAGAGGAGAAGAAAATGAAAAAAGAAGAAAGGAAATTTGAGAAGTAAGGTTATTTTGCCCTGCTAATGTTTAACTCTGTGAGGCCCATTTTTAAGCCTTCTTTAAGGCTAACTTACACTCAAATTGCTTTGGCCATTCTGTCTTTTCCACCTACCAACTTTTAACTAGGCCAAAAAGAAATAGAATGTAGCAATTTGACCACCAAGTTCTACCACCAGGAACAGCGGCACAACGCAAGTGCCTGATGGGTCCAAACTTCATGTGCAAGATTATCTGTTGGGCCTTCAGGTTTTCCTGCAGAATATGTGCAGCAGCTCTGAAAAATTCTGGCTCTTCTGTTTCCATTGAGGACGCCAAATACATGTATGCACTTTAATAAATCTGAAAAGGGGCATTAGTCTTAGCATGGCTTGGATGGAAGTGCATATACAGCAGAAATTATTCAATGACCTGCTACATTTCTGTGTCAAAGGCAATATATTTCTATGCTCAGGAAAGTATTAGCTTGTCTCCAGATAACAGAAAAAAAAGAAATATCAGCAAACCTGCACTTGCATGTGAAGCACTATTCATAATGTCTGTCTGATTCTCAGGGTCTCTGTTAAATGAAAGGGTTCTGTAGACTGCTCGGGTGATTTGATGGACAGACTGTGTTTCAAAGAAAAGCCTTTCTGTCTATCAAAGATTTAGAGCTTAAACAATAATGCAGCATCCAAAGACAGCCCTGTCTCCACCTCTACCTGTCCAAGATTTGGCTACCCGTTGTTCTCAGTCTCTCTACATAACCACTTCCATAAAATGTTTGGGCCACCCCAAACTGCTGTCTTTATTTGGTCACCGAGAGGATACTATCCAGAGGGCTTGTATGCCATCAAGAAGACCGCAGGCTTACCAGTCTGTGTAATCTGGAGCAGATAATAGGTGTCACAGATTGCAGTTAAGTTTTACAGCCATATCTGAGTCAAGAAACTGAGGTCAGGATTTCTTTTGGCTCCAAATCATCCTTTGACTCAGCCCAGGCTGAAAGTCCATCTTCCTTAACCTGATGTCTCTGCAATATAGATACCTGCATCTGAGTTAGTTACCTTGAGCTTCTTTTTAAACTTCTTGGAGAGATGTAGGCCCCTTCAGGGTATAATTAGATGTGTACTTCAGAGTGAGATTCATCGCTTCTAGGATTGTCTCTCCAGGCTTTAAAGGAGGAGAGTGACCAGCTCAGGTTTTGATGCCTATGTTGGAAGGTCAGAGCAATCTGTTTTTAATGATGGAAAAGTCACTGTTGACTAATGGCAGAGTTCATTTTGGGTAGAGCAACTGCTCAAAATCTACAAGTGCTATTAGCAGCCTTTGATGAGGCTCTTTAAGGGGTTTTTCTTTCTGTGACATGTGTAGCTAAACTAGAAAAATTGTGAAGCTCTCTGAAGGATCTGTTTCACCTGTAGAGGCTGGAGAGCATTTCTAGCCCCAAACTATGCTTTTGAAATGAAAATACTACTTCTCAGCATGCCATATACCCTTCTTAGGGTACCTATCTGTGGATAAAACCCCAAGATGCTCCTATCATAGGCAAGAAAACCTCATTATTTAAAAATGTAATGACAGTACCAATTTGCTAGATAAAAAGGAAGAATTGCCACTTGGGAAGGCCACTGTAACAGATTTTGGAGATTTCTGCTTTAGTCCAGTTTTTCTGGTTGTACAAGGCCTGGTGTGAACTACTGCACAGCGCTTTAACCAGGCTTCATTGTGTGGAAAAAAATTGTCAGCACACACAGTTTTGGAGCTGTGTCTCTAATTTGAGCGTGCAAGAAGTCGACTATCCCCCAAAACACTGAGCACAGGCCATTCTTGCAGTGCCAGTAAAGCTGATTGGTAGCTTTGGGTCCTGTGAGTCAGGAATTCTTCACTCCAGGAAAACACATCAGCCCCTGCTGAAAGCTTTCCTCATGTGCTGTTTGAATCCACTGGGCAGATGTCTCCTTTTTACTAATCTTCCATCTTTGTAGCTGTGCTAGTTCGTGCTGATACAGTTCGTGCTCAACTCTAGATTGACTCAGTTGCTGAGGTCAATTGCTATTATATTAAGAATATATGTGAATTATGCCTCAGCTAACCAGTTCCAGGAATCTCAAGTAATTTAGGAGCCGTTGTGGGTGTAGCCAGTGAGATCTTGTGTCACTGTTTATAAGCCAGTGCACCAGATTCCCTTTAGTAAGTGTCATGCAAGATGCCATTTGAGTATTCCTCATCTGTGCTTAAGCCAATCAAATGGAAGGATGTAGAGGCACCAGATCTAAACAAAAAAGCTGGCCCTGACCCCTCCAGAATCCCAGCCTTATGCTTTTTCTCTGTGTCATGACTTGTTTGCTCCTGGAGCACTTCTCGCTGTCGCGGGGCTGGAGAGGGAGCTGGGCACAGCCTGCCCGGGCGCCGGGCGCGGTGTGTGGCACTCACCTCCATCCCGCGGTCACACTGCGCTGAGCAGCTGCGGCAGCGGCGCGGGGAGAGCTCTCGGGGCTGGTACGCAGGGCCTGGAGCCAGGAGCAGCTGGTGTGAGCAGCTCTGCGCTGCTTCCTGCGTGACCAACCTGTTCCCTGGCACAGAACCGCCTGGAGTACCTAGGGCAGGTTCGGAGGTACCTGATGCTCTGCTTGTCTCCTTTGCTTTCGGCAGGGCTGTGAGAGAGCTGGAGGCCCAGCTGGAATACGAGCGACTCAGGCGGGAGACTCTGGAGGGTGAGCTGGATGATTGCCGTGCCGAGATCAGCCGCCTGAGAGAGAGCCTGGAGAACACCCGCAGCGCCCGCGCTGTCCCCGCGGTGAGTGGCACTGTCCCCTCACTGTCCCCTCACTGTCCCCCCTGTTGGCTGTGCATGCTCTCTCTGTTCCCCACACACTGAGCCAGCAAATAACGGAGAAAATGTGCCAGCAACTTTTAGCTTGGGACACTGAAGTGAGCAGGAACTTTTGTCTGTCATAACATTGTCTCCTGGCAGCTGGGAAAGGATATAATTTTCTCTTTGACCCTGGCAGAGAAGCAGCAATTTTCTTCATATTAACAAAAGGAGTGGACTGATCCCTGATTCCATGCTGCATATACAGTGACTGGCAGTGCCCCTTGCCTGGTGCCTGCTATCTGAGACTAGGCTGGTGCTTCTGGAGAGGTGTTGTCACCACCTAAAGGGTTACGCAGCCTGTGGGTGTGGAGAGATCCTAACCATGGGTCCCCAGAGGGGGACAGAGAAAATAACAGGGTCTGACTTCAAAGATGATCAGCGTCACAGAGTGTGGAGTCAGTCAGGGATCCTGAGTGAGACTCCAAGATCTTGTAGAAAGTTTGTGCAAAGAATTCAGTGTGTTTAGGAAAGGAAAAGTATGTGTGGTACAGGAAGTTCTGAGAGGCTCTATTTTGAATAAAAAGTTAACACTGCAAGCAGCCAATAGATGCTGGTTTCTAATTTTCTACTTTTCACCTGTTGGCCAATAGATGATGAGGTTTCTATTCATTCAGACCATTTTTAAGACTATTTGCCACCTTTTTCATACAGTCAATTCAGTCAATTGCCTCTACAGTCTCTTGTTTTTGTGCTTATTGGTGGTATCTCAGTATGGCTCTGAATTCTAGGCATCACAGCTGTACTTCAAAGAGGCCAGCTGCACTTTCCAAGGATGTTTCTGGTTCCCAGCCTCATGATTCCCAGGCTGGCAGACGTATTCTCTGTCAGTATTTTTCAGCAGGCAGTTTTTTCTGGTAATTCTCCCCTTCTAACCAGGCCACCTTTCTGGCTGCTCACACCTAATGTGTCAGCCCTCACCCCCTGGCTGTCAGGTTTTCTAGCAATTGCAGCACATGTTGTAGGATATTTATTTTGCTTCAAAACTCATTCAGAACAGGTTTGTTTTTTTCTCTTTTACACTAGACTGGGAAGTGAGTTGATGGGAGAACTGTAATACAGGACTATCTTGCTGTATGAGGTGACTGATTGTAGTGAGTGTTCTTGTGTGTCATCTATCATCTTAATTATCCAGCCTACTGACAGCAAAGAAGATACAGGCAGATAGGAATTATTGATTACCTTAGCAAGAAAAGTCAGAAAAACTGCAGCTTTTTGAAAAATCAGATCTTGAGGGTGGAGCAGAAGTTCACATACTAATTTTGGGGACAGGTGAGCTGGCCTTTCAGACCTTTCCCTGCCACATAACTCCCAAAAGCTGATATAACAATCAAGACTCCATTTTTCAGGTTTTTACCATCCAGTCAAGTTGGCAGCCTTGGATGAAGCACCTAAAGACCTTCTGCTATGGGCTGTGGGAACTGATGTGCAGTAACACTGATGGTTCTGCTAAGGAAAAGGTGGCAGTGGAAAATGCTGGGCTGTCTTGGAGCTTTGGTTAACTTTCTTGACCATTGTACTGCCTTGTCTGTGTAACTGTACAGCTCTGCTTTTATCCAGTCTAAAAGTCAGGCAAGGACTCTAGTCACTGGCAATGTGCGTGACTCAGATTTAGCTTCTTCCTCTGCCTAGAGGAGCCAAGAATACCCATCCTGGGGGAATGTTCTAACCAGCATGACATCTGCTTTTGTGACCACTGTATTTCAATATTCACTGGTCCAGAGAGAGCAAGTTGGAGAAAACAGCTTTATCAGCTGATTACTAGAGCTCATGGAGAAGGACAGATGAATTTCCATCCCAAGAATTTTAGTCTTTCTGTTGCTAACACAGCGTGGCTGCCTGTGCAGCGTGGCCAGATGGCATTCAATTCCTGCAGCTCAAAGCAGTGAGGCCTTCAGGTCACTCTGGTGCCTGTGTCACATACCTGTGCATGGCTCTGGCTTCAAAGCTTGTGTGTTCTCCCATGCCCACGTGTGCTTGAGCAACGTCATGTGGTCTGGCACAACCACACTGCACAGCTCTTTCCATCTCTCTTCTACCCCCTTGCCCACTTTCTTCCTGCCCCATCTTGCAGGAATGTTTCTACAGCTTTCCTGCCCTCCTGACACTTTTTTCCCTTTCCTTTAGTCTGTGCTCACTTTCCCCACCACTATATACAAGTTGTGATGTTCCTACAGCTGTTTCCTTCCTTCTGTATCCTTGGGACTAGTCTTTTTCATGCTGCTGAGACCCTCAGGCCAGCCAAGTGCCTCCACCTTTGAAAGAAAAGACACTTTGTATTTTCACAGCTTGCTTTAAGACATTATTCATTCTACTCCCCTGGCAGGTTTAAAAATCTAGAACAACTATGGCATAGAGTTCCCCATTCATAGGATATAAGAGTGGCTGTAGTAACTTTTTTTACCCACAGCGATCTGAAAAGGTCTAGTTGGGCTTTAGGTGGTCTAGCTGGGACTGGAGACAACTACTGAGGCAGGTTTGTTTTCAAGAACTGCTCTGAGTGACTGCTACAGCCAAGGGGCCTTCAACTCACACTGCTGTGCTGCCATCCCGTGCCCTGGGACTCTGCTCTGCCCTCTGCTTCAGCCTGAACACAGTATTCTGTGGCTGCTCAAAACCATAGGATTTTAAATCCTATCTCACAAGGTAGCAGGTTTCAGTGATTGCTGTTTAATGGCTGCAATATCCTTTGTTTCAGGGAGCTGAGACAATTGCCAAGTCTTGCAAAGACAAAAAGACAATGAAGAAACCAGCCTGCAGCCCACGAGTGTTTGTGAGACCACGCTGAGGAACGAACTTTGAAGGAGGGGCAAGGCAGGCTGCAAAAGTAGAAAGGCAATATTCTAGACAATGCAGTGCTTGCACTGCCCAGCTCCACAGATGAGTTCTGGTTCTCTGCCTTTCACTGAACTAAGTTCTTAGCTCTCTAGTTCTCTAGCACAGTAGCAGCATTTTTTTACCAAAAAACACAACAAAAGAAAATGTAGTTTAGCAACAGCTTTGCAAATTCGAAGTTGACATATCAAGAGCTAAGAGCAGCTATTGCCTACATCACCATTGGTGCTAAACTTTCATGAAGGAACTCTCAGATAGTCAGACAGCAGATATAAGAAATTAATTTTATTTTCTTAAATGATAAATAATTTATGAACAGAGTGTAAGCACTGGCAGAATACCAGCAAGTTCAACTGTAAACAGAATAAAACAGCAATGAAAAAAATTGCCACTCGTCAGTACTACACAGTCCTTAGCCCATAAAGGGCCTATTCTTACTTCCAAGTTAATACAGAAAGACTTTTACTAAAAGAATCAAACCAAACATATGCATTTGTACCCAACAAGATGTGACTGCTTCAGTTTTGGAAGGCATCCACGTGCTGTGTCACATCTCTGCAACAGGAGTTGTGAAGTCCCTGCAGAAGGTAGAGGGGCCAGGAGGGTCAGTGTGTCCCACAGATTTACAGAACAGCCTGGAGGAGTGTGGAGATGGGAGGAGGATAATCACCACCACACTGAGATTTCCATGTTACAAACCAGATCCTGTGCCCAGAAAATATGTGTGTGTTTACTGGAAACACCCTGCACTACTTGAAGGGAGGAGTTAAGAGCACTTATCTGCCCCGCGGCTATACAGAGGTGCTGAGAGTGGAACTATTTCCCCATGGAAAGGCAAAGACAGATAAGTTCTGCCATTCTGTTGACCTCTGGGGTTATGGAAATTGCAAGAGATACTAAAGACAATAAATCTATGACGACATTTTAGTTGTACACAAGATTTTTATGTAAACCAGTTTCCAAAAAAAAAAAAAACCAAAAGGATTTAGTAGTAAAGGCCTTGGAGTGTGTTTTTATACATGCAAGTAGAAAAAACAAAGGGAAGGTGGCCTTCAACCCATCAGAAAAGAGAGGAACAGACTGGAGGCAAAAATCCAGAACCTATGTTTAAGATTAATTTACTTAGATCATAGTATATATGTTGGAATCTGGTATTAGTATCCCCATACTGGGAATATTAATTTTGGAATTGTATTCCCACTTCAAGGTAATATAAAATGTTTAATTTTAATTTCCATTTTGAGAGGAGCTGAGAGTGAGAATGTTTAAAAAAACCCCGAATTTAATTCTAAAATATATTAGGAACCACTTTCTGGCATAGCATAAGAAATACTTTGAAATAAATCCAGTATTCAACAGGAGAGAGTGAAATATTACTATTTGGCTACTTCCCCCCAATTGTTTTGATCTTTAGTGTTACATATTCAGAAAAAAATTTTATTACACAGTAAGAATATCAAAACAAAAAGGTACCAAGGTTATCTACAGTGCAAACACGATCATCAAAGTGGTGTTGCCCAGGTGGCCTTTTCTCTGTCTGCATGCGATGTGGTCATTCCATTTATATCTACTTCCAGAACCTGTAAAATCCCAGTGCTATTGCTAAGCAGGTGAACACTGAAGCTGTTAAAAAAAAACCAAAGAAAGAAAGGAAATAATTAGCTGAATACTAAACTGTATCACTTTCTACATACAGGAAATAAGCTGCTAACAGATGTAACAATGGTAATGACTCTAGAATAGAGCCTCCTAAACTTCCTGAATTGCTGCAGGTGTGATGGAATAATTTTAGAAGACAATGACTTGTCTTAGATCATACAATCAACTGGGTTGGAAAAGACCTCAAAGATCGAGTCCAACCTTACCGTGGTTACTAGACCTTGGCACTAAGTGCCACATCCAGTCTCATCTTGAAAACTTCCAGGGACAGTGAATCCACCACCTCCCCGGGCAGCCCATTCCAGTGCCTGATAACTCTCTGTAAAAAATCTCTTCCTAATATCCAACCTAAACCTCCCCTGGCAGAGCTTGAGTCTGTGCCCTCTTGTCCTCCTGCTGGTTGCCTGGGAGAAGAGACCAACCCCCACCTGACTCCAACCTCCTTTCAGGGAGTTGTAGAGGGTGATAAGGTTTCCCCTGAGCCTCCTCTTCTCCAGGCTAAACAACCTAAGCTCCCTCAGCCTCTCCTCATGGCACTTCTGCTATGAGTATTGAAACCTATGTAAAATCTTTAAGAAAGGTCCTATTGTTTGCAGAGCCCTTTATTCTGTCTCATTAAGGAAACTCTAGCCTCCCAAATTACAGCTATTTACTCTTCTTTCCCTGTGAACACTACACAGTAGCATTGCCACCTTGGTGGGATGGGAGACCGAATTCAGCAACCTGAGGAACCATGTCTTCAGGGGCACATCCCAATAGCTATACTGGATACTACAACACACCACAGGCTACAGTAACTTCTACTATTGCCACCCAACTATTGGAAATTATTACAGGAGAGATGGCTGTACCAGGTCTTGCATTAGACATTGTAGATTTCCCACTGAACCAAAATGACAACGAACATGACAATGAACTGATAATATGTGTATCTGACACACCACCAGGATATCCAGGCTGCACCTCTAAAGCCTGATAAGTTGCCTTTTGGATTTGTTATGCTGCTGTTTCAACTAGTGTTAGAATAAAGCTAACTGCACTTCCCTTTGAACTTATTCTCACTTCCAAATATAATGCATTACTCTCTTTATATTCAGCTCCAATACAACAAAATTTCCCTGGTTATATATATGTATTGAGAAGATGATCTCAAATCAGACTGAAATTTGCTCTGATTGGCAGGGGAAAATACAAGTGCTGCCAGATGGAAACTGTGTCCCTGTGGAGACTGACTGGGAGGCAGAACTGGTTACTCTCACACCAGTCCCAAATGACAGCAAACTTTCAGGGTAACCTAAATGACCACAGAAGAACTTCTGTAGCAACTCTGCCATGTCAATGGCTGTTGCAGCATGCAGGGGTACTGTCAGACTGGATAAATTTTAGATCATGTGCATATTCCTCCTAATCCCAGTTCTGGACACAATCTTAGTCCAACTGTGCCATGCTCCCACCTCTTGTGTGTCACATTTCTTCCAATGGGGAGTGGGAAATCTCCACCCAATCCCAGTTGTTTACTGCTACAGCTGATTTCTTCAATTCACTTAGCATATACTCCTGAATAAAATTTTATACATCCAAGAGACAATAGTGGTACTCACCTCCCTGCCTATCACATACCTGCTAAATAACGTATGGTGTCAAGTTTATTCGATTCCATGAGTGTTTTCAAGGAAGCTATTTCAGTGTCAATTTTATTACTGATTTCTGAGATAACGCTGTTGGTACTCGAATCCTGAAACATTAGAAGACAGCACATATTTGACAATGGTCTCTAGTCTTTGCTTTGCAAAGCTGAACTAAAATACCATGCTACTACCAACAAGAAACAAATGTCCAGACAACCACTGAACTAAAACATTAGTAACTGCTAAGAGACCTTAGAAGACACAGAACATCATTTAACACAATCCAGTAGGAATATTGAAGAGACAGAGATAGACAAAGAGAAAAATCCAGTGATGACAGAATCATAGAATGGTCTGGGTTGGAGGTAACTTTAAAGATCATCTAGTTTCAACACTTTTGCCCTGGGCAGGGACAGATTCCACTAGACCAGGCCATTCAGAGCCCCATCTAGCCTGGCCTTGAACACCGTCCGGGACAGGGAGTCTACAACCTCTCTGGGAAACCTGTGCCAGTGCCTCACCAACCTCATGATATAGACTTTTATCTCTGATATGCCAGTGCTTCCTAAAGGAGACATTCTACAGCACTTACACAGTATTCCCATATTTTTGCAAAACAAAGGTTTAAGTGTTCAGAAGCCATATCCCCAAAAGACAGCAGATGCTGAAGATGGGATGTGTCCCTCTTCAGCCTCTTGGACTTTGGGGACAGCTGCTTTGAGGACTTCCAGCCCTTGAAATACTTGCTTGGCTGTAGGCACCTGAAGCATCCCTCTGGTACAGCTCATCAGCTAACACTGGGAAAAGAGTAGCATGACAGCACACATCCCACCTGTAACAGCCTTCACAAGGTACAAGGGGAAGTGATGGACAAGGCGTGCATGCCTTCCTCTGCTGACCAGTATGATACAGCTGCAACTTTTGCTTTACCATATCCAAAAATCTATTAACTTCCACCAAAGTCTGGGGTTTACGTGACATGCAATGTGTAACTGCATCCTGCTGACTATTGAATCAGCTTTGTTCAATACTTACTTTTTTATGAAACTCTGTAGTGGCTTCCATCAGTTTCTTCTCCTGATCTGTAAACTGTGGGTAAAAGAGAAGTTACAAGCACAGTAATGGAAACAGGACACAGAACAGACAACATTATCTTCACAGACCAGCTTACCATATCTGTCACCCTGCTCCTTTCCAGGTTTATGTCTAGCTTGCTGTCAGCTCGGATTTTACCAGTTTCATTCTTTAAAACAAAATAAAGATTATAAAAATAACCATTTACTCTTCCCAACAGGAGTGTGTAGGTACTAGCTGTGTACTTACCATTAGCTGCTGTTTAACTTGATCTAATTCAATTTTCATTTTCTAAGTGCAGAGAAGAAAAAAAAGATTTTTACAAATTCAGGAAACTGCTAACCAAATTAATCACTCATGTAAGTGTTACCACCACATGCATGTGATTATTCTTCCCTAATTTTTCACCCAACAGGGCAATTTGTTCTTTATTGAATATCCTAACTAATGTATTCAGTTGTACAGCCATATATAACCCCTTGGGAATTTTGTTCAAAATAAAGTGATTATTTTGTAACAATTATGATCTTGTTATTCTGAGACTAAAGACAGCAGAAAAATACCAAAAATGCCATCAACTAAAAGGGAAACATATCTCAATCACCAGCTTAATGAAATTGTTGCAGAGGAATGGCTGACTCCTCTCCCTGCAGTGTATGGTTAATGGCCACAAACTGTACCATAATTACCCTCAAATAAAATTACAGAAGATGATTCTAAGATATGTAGATTTTTTTCTTTTTCTTTACAGAAGACCTGAACAATTCTTATGTGAAATGTATTTTTATGTGATCTCGGACATTGTAATTTGCAAACTCTTCAACTGTGATAGAAAGTAGCCAGAATTACCTTTACATTCTTACTTTGTTCCACAAAAATGTGCAACAGGTAAACCCCAATATTTATTGGAATTAAACTGCTTAATGAAAAATATGTATTTTACCTCATTTTCTGCTCTCAAGTTTGCAAATTCACTTTTCTCCAGGATGACCATATCTTTTCGAATGGAGTCTAAATGTGCCATTATCTGCTGCAAAGTTATTTCCTTAGAAACAACGAAACATGCCATTGGTTAAGTTGCACACTTTCTGGCAAGTTAAGATTTTTAGGTCTGAAATTACAAAATTAGCTACTGCAAAGCACAGAAGTGGGGAGTCTCTACAACAAGAAAGTGACAGGAACACAGAATTTTATAGCTGCCATTTGTTTGAAGGAGTCAGGAGGTTTGGGTTTTGTGCTTTTTCTGTCGCTTTAATACACTGACTCTGTATTTAAGCAAAAAGGCCAGAGGTGTCCAAGCAGCTATGAAATGAAATAGACCCCAAACTACAGGTGACTCCTTCACTCTCTTCCACTTTCAATGAACTTTCAGTAGCCTCAGAAGCATTAATTGTGGGTCTGAATGCAGTTCCTAATAAGCACTTCCACTGCTTGCCCACAAACTCATCAAAAGCAAAGACCTGATGATATAAGTATCACACCATCTTCCCAGCATTCAAGTCTGATGGACAGTAATGGTTTTAATAATTACTCAGGAAGGCTGTGCAAGCTGAAATGATGTGCTATTCTTCTTCAATTACTTAATGCAATTAAGCATTCATTGCTATTTTATTTGAACTGCTGAGCCTTCCTTTGAACATATTTTTATCTTACTGGCAATTATTTTAACAAAAATTGCCTAATTTTTCTTTCTCTAAATCTCAGAAGAGAAGAACTTTGTCCCTCTGTTTTTTTCAACAAAATGGAAACCTTTCTTTTTGGAAGTCCTATTATATATGCAAAGAAAGCCATTATCCCAAATATAATTTGCCTGGAATTGTGTTAGGCAGAAACATTGGTTTTCACAGTGCAGTGAATGTTGAGAGCGAGTATTTCAAGATGGGGTGAGGCACACTAGCTCTTCAGTGTAAATGTAACTGAAGTTTTCCCATGAATTGTAAAAACTTCATTGTGTTCAACGAAGGAGTCAGACTTCAGTGGAAGCTGGGTCAGGGCATATAACTATCTTAAAATCCCAAGTAAAACTTAGGAAAACCTGGCACAGTGAAGTGTTTCCAGTATTAGAGAGAGCTGCTCACTTGTCTTTTAAAGATGCAAATATGAGCCATTATAGCTACACACCACAGATTACTTTTTACCTGCTGAGCCTGTGTAACCATATCCTTATAGACAGTGTCTAGGCTGACATTGGACAGGGTTATTAATGCTGATACGATGGTCTCTGCTTGCTCCTTCCCAAAGCCTAGAAGACAGTTGAAGGATAAGTTAAGGTGATATTAAAAATCGGGATGAAGAGCCAGAAGTACACAATAACCTGGGACACTTGAGTGCTGTATCTAACTACAGTGGCACATGGGAAGTCACACAGTTACTGAAAACTGACAGCCAGGAGTCACTGTGACTTTTACTAGAAAAACACCCAGACTTAATGCTGCAAAAATCTGAAGCACATTAACTTTGAATGCACTGAAATAGTCTGTGCATACAGATGACAGGAGGACATTTCTGCACTGGGTTTATGTACATGCAATATAAAAAATAATTCAGCAAAACTTTACTTCATAATGAACTTTCACAGACTCTGTTGAAACCAAAGCATTACTTATTGAATAAGTAATTCTTCATATATTGAAATTGTTCCGCATAGAACACATTCAAACCTGATTTTAGAACTGCTGCATCCACTGCCTGCAGAATGGATCCAAACTGGACCTCTTCCTTTCTAATGATAAAAGTTACACATTGTCCCTAACTTGGTGTGCTTTTGAAGTGTTATTATGTGTGCTGAATTGTGAAAAAAACAAAAAAATCACCCTCATTTTAGCCATATCTGGCCAAGTGCTAAGAGCTTTTGCCCTAAAGATCTACTTCCAGCAACATCACTGTTGGGCTGTGTTTCAATTGGCCATTTTATAAAGTGGGATCAATTAAGGCTTTGTTGAAAAATCCACTGGACATTCAGCTGTCAAGTTATGCCAACAGCTCTGTTCCCTGCCCTGTCAAATGGAATGTGACAGAACTGGAAAATATTAACAGAAGGGCATTGTGAATGATCAAAAATATGGAAAAGCTACTGCTCAAGCAAAAATGCAACAAGCTAGGATTCTTCTGTTTGGAAAAGAATGATGGGGGAATAGAACAGAAGTTTGCATAATCATAAGTGACACAACAGAGCTAATGTTTACTCCCCTCTTCCCACAAAAAAGAGCTGAGAGGGCATCAAAGTCACCTCACAGAAGCCAGATTCTGCATCAAGAAAAAGAGTGGATGTGTGAAATTCCTTGAGAAAGGATGTTTTGGGTACTAATCAGTTTGCAGTGGCTCAGGGACTGAATGCGGCTGTGAAAAGATTTCCACTGAAGGTTACTAAAACTCACACCTAACCCAAAATGCCTCCAGGGTGACAGCAACTGGAGATTTAGAAAGTACAAGGGAATTTGTCACATACATCTGCCCTGATTTAACACTCTTCTGCAGGCACTGACTCACAGCTGCTGTCGGGGGACAGAACCCAGGGCTAGATGGACCTTTCATCTGACTTCACCCAGTCACACTCACAAAATACAAGTGCAGGCACTAAGAACATTCCACAGTACCATGCTGCTGAAAATATTTCTGGCTAAAACCCTGAAGTTCCTAATAGCAGGCTAGCAGCAGCAATTGCTATTAAAGCTTCATTTTTGCTATAAACAGTCTTTAACTGTTACTGTTACTTTGTATTTGTTCACTATTACGTTCCTCAGCTGGAAGATACTACAGAGCATAAACTTGCCTACAGATGCACATGAGATAAATCTAATGTAATAGTTATTTGTATGGTTACATGTGCATCAGTGGCAGATGCCTCTTCTTCACCAGTCTCCTCCAGAGGATGGCAAAACATTTTATACCACCAAGTATTGGTACTCTGGGAAAACTGATAGCACTCAAAGTTACAGTACTTAAAGCTTAAAGTTTTCCTTTGAATTATTTATCAGATATCACTTACCATGGGCTTCCAGATCCTGCACTAAAGCATGGGTATCAAAAGTTACCTTCCTCTGCTCCAGGGGAGTGATATCAACTCTTCTGACATCGTAGGACTTCCTAATGAATGTGGAAGCAAAACCTGGAAGTAACAAAATGTGCCTTAAACTTCACTCAATTGGTTTATCATGCAATACACTAATTTTAATTTCTTACATCATAGCAAAGGTGCATGGATGTTACAACAAAAATCTGGGTTACAGCACACACCAGAAACCATCAATCCCTTTTCCATAGGAAATCTACATGAACTAGGACTCATGTATCTATCTTAAGTGCATTTGTGTAACCATGCAACAAACAGGCATCCTGAAACAACAGAAATAATCCCACAATACAATATTTGGGAAACATCACTTAAATATTTTTCTTACTTTTAAAATATTCCGTGAGTCAATGCAATTAAGCATTCATTGCTAATTTATTTAAACTGCTGAGCCTTAATTCCGACAGATTTTTAACTTATCACAGAATGATCTGGGTTGGAAGGGACCTTAAAGACCGTCTAGTTCCACCCCTTGTGCCTTGGGCAGGGACCCCTTCCGCTAGTTCAGGTTGCTCAGGTCCTCATCCAGCCTGACCCTGAACACTTCCAGGGATGGGACATCCACAACTTCTCTTGGAAACCTGTTCCAGTGTCTCATTGCTCTCACAGTAAAGAATTTCTTCCCAATAGCTAATCTAAATCTCTCATTTTCACAGAATTCCTCATCACCTTTGTTACAGATTTTTTAAAATTTCAGGAATCTGTACAAATCTGACATTCAGAATGAATGGGCAACGAAGTCATACAAGGTTTGCACATACCAACTCAGTACTGCACCTAATAATTCAGGGTATTAAGGATCCACTCTATGTATTACATGAGTGCCTTTTCATAAGGTGTTCCACTGGTTATCCTATTTTTATTTCAACCGTATCTTTCCCTTCATCTTATCTTTGTGGGGGTCTTGCATAGCACAGATTCTGTTCTGATAAGATTCTGTTATCTATAAAGCCCTGTTACTTCCAAATCCATGCTTATTCAAGACCTTATGCACTGCTGGCTCTCTGCCTTAACCAAAAAGTTGTTCTGTGTCTTACCTAGACCTTCACTCAAGAGCTTTGTATCATTTAAACAACAGGGAAGTTACACTGTGCTGGTAGTAGATAAATCAAGTTGTGTGCTATCTTATATGGGCTCTAAAGAACTGCCTGTAGTGAAGCCAGCCACAGCACCCAAATTAATCACTGTATTAGTGGTAACAAGAATTGAATAGTTAAAGTAAGAGTATGATAGGGAATAGTCAAGTAGAGAGCACCTGAATAAACAGAAGGTAAAAGGTTGACTAATAAGGCATTGTTTTAGTTTATTAAGCATGAAAAGGGTAGAACTTAGGGCATTATTTTAGCTTAGGGAGCGTAAACACAATGGATTTATGAGGAAGTAAAACTAGGTGCAGGTGGACTCAGGACCTGGCAGATGAAGAGCAAGACCAAAGAGCATGCACCAAACTCAAAGGTGAAAAGATCAATCTGATGAAGACTATCAGCCTTCCTCCTGACGACCCCCAGAGACTACTGGACTAATGCCAAGTGGGAGGGGGCAAGGGAGGAGTATATGATAATGATTTCTGAGAACTAATTGTAATAATAACCACCTATTCCTGGGAATAATGAATGAGCATTTAATGTATATAAACTGCTAAGTTTTTGTCCCTGGTTGCACAAGTTTGGGGGAGAGATCCCCCTTGTGCCCAGCGCTGAATAAATAAATACCTGCTACTCAGAGATACAAGTCTGTGAGTAGTTCTTTTCCAGGTTTTCTCGGCATCATGCACTGAATACTACATACAAGTAATGAAAAACAACTCTAAACATTTTTCACGGAGCTACAACAGCTTTTAAACACATAGCTCTCTGTCTTGTAAACGCATTAGTGGATTGTTGATTTGGGTTGTACACCTGCATGGCAGAGAGGCTGTCTCAGACAAGGTGTTACCGCAGCTCTGGCTGCCTTGCCGCGCTGCTCTCGCCCCCGCTGTCCCACCCCTCTCGTCTCGACTCGGCGCACCTCCCAGCTGCGACCCTCACCGACCTTCCTCCCCTCACGCCGCGCACCCGAGACCCCTTAGGGCGCAGCCCCTCCCGTGTCAGACACCCCCGACAGGCACACAAAGGCACTCGCTCCTCTGCTCCTGGCCGCGCAGCTCACCCCTCGCTCGGGAC